AGATGCATTCTCCCTAGACATTTGTGTTGAGCCTAGCCATATACAGAGTTTGAAGAAAAGGGGGATTTTTAAATTTCAGTTTTATGAATAATAAGTTCTGGTTTCTGTTAATGTCAAACTAGTTAAATAAGATTATACTCACTCCTTCGAACATTAAATATTAGAATATACTGAGAATGAAAGAAAAAATAAGGAGGGAAAGGAGGAAGAAAAAAGAAAAGCAAGAAAAAATGCTAGAGACTAGCAAAAAAAAACATATCTGGTACTTTTTAAACTGAAACTGCATTTGAAAATTTCTATTCAAAGAGAGAATACAAAGTGCATCTGTTTTTCATTTCTTTTACAACATGCTAACATTAAAATTAACAAATTAAAATCCGACTTAAGTGTCTCAGGAGGATGGACCACTGCATAAAATGCATTAAATTTTAAGAAGCTACAAAAAACTGAGTAAACATCATTTCTTTACTGCAGAATGGGTTTGGGGTATATGGGTTTGGGGTAAAAAAAAATATTAATTTTTTTAAATTCAAAACTGAACTATCTTAAGACAAGTTTATTCTACATAAGCTGTCATAAAAAGTTACTAAATATATGCAAGCACAGAGGTCTTCCTATATGGATATTAGCACTTTCCCCAAGTAAAACACCCTCCAGCAGATCTTCCCAACCCAGAAATTGAACCAGGGTCTCCTGCATTGCAGGCAGATTCCTTACCAGCTGAGCTCTCCCGGAAATGCTTTATAATATCAGAAGATAATGATTTTAAAACCCTATCTTTTTAATAAGCTTGAATATCCAGAGTAGACAGATCAAATATGATTTTATCTCACTTTTTCTCAGAATTCTACTTAACAGAATCATTGAGATTGCTTTCTTAATTTTTAAAAAATTATATTTGACATGCAAAAACACATCTAAAGCAAAGCCTTCATTTATTTAGAACAGTTTTACTTTTATAGAAAAATTCAGCTGAAACTACAGAGTTCCCATATATGTCTTCTCCATCTCCAAAACACATAAAGTTTCTTCTATTATTCAGATTTTGCAATACTGTGGTATATTTGCTACAACTTAGGAACCATGTTAAAACATAGTCATGAACTAAAGTCTAGAATTCACACTAGGGTTCACTGTTTGTGTTGTATAGTTCCACAGTTATACAGCTGACAAATACATAATGCTATGTACCCGTCATTAAAGAACCATACAGAATAGGTTCACCACCCTAAAGATGCCCTGTGCTCTGCCTATTTGTCCTTCTCTCTCCTCGACACCTGGCAACCACTGAGCTTTTTACTGTCTCCACAGTTTGCCTTTTCCAGAATGTCATATAGTTGGAATCTCAGTATGCGGGCTTTACAAATGATTTAACTCACTCAGTGATATTCACATAAGGTTCCCCATGTCTTTTTGTGGCTTAATAGATCATTTCTTTTCATCAACTGAATTAACAGTCCATTGTCTAGCTATATCACAGTTTGTTTATCCACTTACCTAGTAAAGGGCATTCTGTTTGCTTCTAAGTTTTGGCAATTATGAATAAAGTTTACATAAACATTGTGCAAATTTTTCATGGACATGTTTTCAGTTCATTTGGGTAACTACCCAGGAGTGCAATAGCTGGGCTACATAGTAGTGAAGACTATATGTGTGCTGATCTTCATAATAAACTCCAAATTATTTCCCAAAGAAGCTGTATTCATTTCCACCAACAACAAATCAGAGTCCTAGCTGCTTGTTTCACACATCCTTGGCAGCATTTGGTGATGTCAGTATTTTGAATTTCAGCCGTTCTAATAGGTAAGTAGTGGTATCTTATTATTTTAATTTATAGTTCCCTAATGAAATAAATACCAAACATCTTTCCATATGCTTATTTGCCATCTGAAGAAGTATCTTCTTCAGTGAGATCCCTCTAAAGCTCTCTCCCACTTTTAAATTGGATTATATGTTTTCTTATTGTTGAGTTCTTTGTTTATTTTGGATACCAAGTCCCTTATAAGATAGGTCTTTTACAAATATCTTCTTCCAGTGTGTGTCTTGTCTTTCAATTCCCTCATCAATGTCTTTCCAAAAATCGAATTTTTTCATTTTAATGAAGTGCAACTTATCAAACATAATTTTTTTTTTATTTCATGGATTGTACTTTTGGTATTTTATTTAAAAAATCATCCCCTAGATGATTTTCTCCTATGTTACCTTCCAGCAGTCTTAGAGTTTTACATTTTACACTTAGCTCTATGATCCATTTTTCATTCATTTTTATAAAAAGCATATGTTCTGTGTCTATTATTTTGCACATAATTGTACAAATGGTTGTTCCAGTACCACTTTTGAAGTTACTGTCCTTTTCAACTGAACTGCCTTCACTCATTTGTCAAAGATCAGCTGACTGTGTTTGTGTGAGTCCACTTCTAGGATCTTTAGTATTCGTTACAAAGACCTATTATTTTGTCAATACCATCCTGTCTTGATTGTGTTCGGTTCAGTTGCTCAGTCATGTCCGACTCTTTGCCACGACGTGGACTACAGCACACCAGGCTTCCTGTCCATCACCAACTCCCGGAGCTTGCTCAAACTCATGTCTATCAACTCAGTGATGCCATCCAATCATTTCATCCTCTGTTGTTCCCTTCTCCTCCTGCCTTCAATCTTTCCAGCATCAGGGTCTTTTCTTTAAACAAAGTCTTGACGTCAGGTGGTGTTAGTCTTCTGACTTTGCTTTTTTTCCCTATTCTGGGTCTTTTGTCTTTCCGTATAAACTTAAGAACTAGTTTATCAATATTCACAAAATAATTTATAGGGATTTCACTGGGATTATGTTGAATCGATAATCTTCAAGTTAATAAGACCTGACATTATAACCATATTGAGTATGTCTATCTATGAACATGGGGTATCTCTCCATTTAAATATTTGATTTTCTTTCATCAGAATTTTGTAGTTTTCCTAATATTATTGTTGTAATCTACAATATTGTAATCATCTTTTGGATTTTCTACATAGATACTCATGTGATCTGCAAAAAGACAACAGTGTTTCTTCCTCCCCAATCTGTATGTCTTTTAATTCCCTTTTTTTAAAGCTTACTACTTAGGATTTCCAGTATGATACTGAACAGGATGTTTAAGAGGGGACATTTTACTTTGCAATCTTAGTAGAGAATCATCTAGTTTCTTACTGATGATTTTGTATAAAGCAAATATCTACGCAACCACCAGCCTAGTGAATAAACAGAAAGCTGCTGATACACCAGAAGGTCCTGGAACCTTCACCTCAATTTCGACCACCTATCTTGAACTTGGAGAAGGAAATGGCAACCCACTCCAATACTCTTGCCTGGAAAATCCCATGGAGGGAGAAGCCTGGTAGGCTACAGCCCATGGGGTTGCAAAACATGACTGAGGAACTTAAGCATCATCTTTACTTTTGTTATAATCACTTCTTGCATCCCTAAACACCAAAGTGTAGCTTTGGAACTGCATATAAAGGAAATCATACAGCACTTATTCTTTTAGATTTGGGTGTTTTTAATCAACATTACCATTAGGAGATCCAACCATGTTACTGTTGCTATACATTATACTTTCATTGCTGCAGAGCAGAAGACCAGAATGTTTTTTCTGGGAATGATAATGCTTTCCAATTCTTCATCAACTTCAAACCAGTAAATGGTTTACTNTTTTCCACAGTTTGTTGTGATCCACACAGTCAAAGGCTTTGGCATAGTCAATAAAGCAGAAATAGATGTTTTTCTGGAACGTTCTTGCTTTTTTGATGATCCAGCGGATGTTGGCAATTTGATCTCTGGTTCCTCTGCCTTTTCTAAAACCAGCTTGAACATAGTTTGTGCAAAATTTAAGATTTCTAACTCACAAGTATAGAATGTCAGGAATGGCCGCAGTGTTTCCTGGCTCTATCAGACGTTCCAAACAATAATATTAAACGTGAACCTAGAAATGATGAAGAATTCTCACTGCAGACTACTTTGACAACTTTGTCAGATGCTATGTGGTTAAGAATATCACATTCAAAATCTGTAAAGACTCATATTTAAATTTTGGAGATAACTGGGAGAATTTATGATTTGGTTTTATTTGACACTAATAAGTATTCATTATCTACTGCATACTCTGGACCTTTTAAAATGAAAACAATACACTATCACTGAGTCTTTTCACTGACAAATGAAAAAGGTAATCAATTATTAAACAAAAGTCAAATTTCTGGCAGTTAAGCCATTATATCACATATCAACTAACTTATTGCAAGGATGATACATGAGGTAACTTTCCAAATAAAGGTGTTGATGATAAGAAATTTCTTCCTAAATAATTTTCCTAAAACAAGCCCTGCCTTTAGTTATCATTCTTTCTAACAATTTCTGAACAGCAACTGAATTCTGTTTCTATAAAATCATTAACAGACATGTTTCAAGTTCTCCCTAACAAAACAGGAAATCAGTCTTTCCAATACACTAAGCTGACAAAATTTATATATTTTTATAGTACAGATACAAAGTCAGTCCAATTCATTTTCACCATGCAAAGTGAAAAAAGGACTTACTGTCTCTCTTACTGAAAGGTGGATTTAAATAGATATATTAAGATAGTCTTATTCTCAGATATGAAGAAATATAAAAGAAAAAGAAGGAATCAAAGTTTAGAGCATCAAGGGATTATAATGGCACAAATGCACATATTAAATCAAAGGAAGTTACCTTCTTTTCATCAGAATACTCTCAAAATTCTTAACAGTTCTCTGCCAGAAGATAAAATTAAAATTAATCCATTTTGCATTGAATGTTATTATTGTAAAGCATCACCTTTTTAGTTAGAAAGCATTAACACAAATACAAATTTAAGTTACTAATCAAAAGAAATGTATATTTTGTAGAGAAAAACAAATGCAAAGAATATTGTCATCACATATTTTTCTACTAACACCTGAGCAGCCACAAAAACAGAGATGGCAAACATGGAGTACAGATGACTTACATTTGGAGGGTTAGACTTTAATTCTCTCTCCCAGGATTGAGGGGTTTTATTCTTTGTGCTTACAATGCTCCTTTCTCCAGCGTATTCTTCTACTTCCAGAATAGGTCAGGACAAAGCTTCAACAGACTTCTATTATTTGTTTGATCTAGGGGGAAATTATACTTTTAATCAATTATTACAAAACGCATCAAACTTTTTTCTTTCTGTGCTGGGGGTGGGGGTTTCTCATTATTTTCTGTTGGATCTGAAGTGAACAGAGAAAATAGGAATCGCCATTGTTGAATATTATAATAAATAAATCAAGTAGTTTAAATTAACACCACTAAAAGAAACCCACATCCATCTTCTTTTTCATTTTTATGGCTAAGCAGCATAGCAAGAGAAAATTAATATTCAAAATCCAAATGACTACAAAAGCCTGCTCAAATGTATTTTTAAAAGACTTTAACATAATTTTGAAAATCCATGAGTTTGAATGGACTGGCAGAGACGATTAGGTATCAAATATTTTTACTCATTCATTTTAATGTCTTAGGGCTAAAGAATTACAGGATGATTAGAAAAGTGTAAAGGAAAATCCATTTAAAAAAATTTTAATGGAATAATAAAAAAGATGATTTCAAGAGCATGAGACAGACCAGAAACAGACAGTAAAGAATCTGTAGGCAGGGCAAGAAATTTAGAGTATAAACTGTGAAAATGGTACAAAGGTTGGGAACTGCTATTCTAACAGAATGTTGGTCAAATTAAAGTATATGACACAAGGACATTTTAATCTGATTTGATGTTAATTCCCTAAGGAATTTATACAATGTAAAAATGCAATACATCTTACTTTCACAAGAACACAGAAGCATAATGCATGATTGTTTGACCTTTGGTGGTATGAAAATTCATAACTTTAAGAGAATTAATTGTATTCTACAAACTTTATCAAACTGCAGTTTTCTAATAATGGATATTTTCTGCCTCATTAAAATGAAATATTAAGATAAATGTCTTCAACTTGTGCCATACTTTGGATCACACACTGTTGCCTTATCTTAAAGTCATTCATATTACTTTCCATTAAATAATAAATTAGAATGTAGGAGGGACATTTAGAGAAAATCAGAAATAAAATATAGCTGGGGGAAACTTGTCTGCTAGCACTGTAAAGTCAGTTTCTGCTCAGAAATTTAAGACTATTACACTTGTGATTATTATCCCCCCCCCAAAAAAAAATTATAGTGGCAAAATAGTAAACAAATGAAGTCAATTAATAGCTATATCACAATTGCTAAATACAAAAAACAAAATATATGTGTGCAGAAGCATTTCTTTAAGTCATCCATCTAATCACAAATTGGTACTTGTGTGAGCCTCTGCTGATTTTAACCGGTATAAGCAGTACTCGCAATCATTTACCTGGAATACCATAAAATTATTTCCGGTGAAACAAACAGAAATCTGACTATCAAAAATTAATGTTACTGAAGGAGAAAACTCATTCAAGGCTAGATTTTAGGATTACAGAAAACTGGTATACTTTGCTTTAGAAAGATCAGCTAATCTTGGCCTAACTCAATAGTCTTACTATTAATGGTTATCAACATACATTCTATATGAATATTTCCATATGGCTTTTCAAACATAGGTAGTTCTACTTTAGTTTCAAGAACACAGAAATGGTTTTGCTCTATTTTGGATCAGTGCAAGATCAATGAACGTTCCTTTAGGGAAGCCTTTTGAACTGACAAAGGGTGAATGATTGACACCAGTAACAAATACTTTTTGTTGTCCTGGAATGACATGTCATTTATAGCAATACCTATGCTAATTAATGCCACACATATCTACCAGATGTGTCAGAGAAATATGCCAGACCCTTCACAGAATATAGTATATATATATATATAGTTAAGGTCAATAAAGACATCAAAATTATGTATCACAATTTTGTTAGTAAATTCAGTATTTACAAAGAAACAATTGCTTATGATGGCAACTGAAACCCTTACTCATTTAATCAGATATGCTAGTAAAGAACTCATCTCACTGTCTAGAACAGACCACTCAAAAAAATGTGATCTATATAATCAGATTTAACATCCATTCCAGATTGCCTGGGATAGATGAGATTTGTACTTAATTCAGTTATTAAAAGCTAGCCCTTTTCTTTTCAAAAGTGTCCCAGTTTAGATGATAACTCTATATATTTTTCCAAAGTATAATTAATTATAATTCATCTATATGATTATTTCTTTTTATCAACAAGTTACTGTTCTTCATTTTTTTGTTTTCTATGATGCTGTTAACATGATAAAAGAATTTTACTAAGATTGGAATGAACAACATTCCATCCTTTTAACATCAATACATTCACACAAATGGTCAAAGGTTTACTAAATCCTCATATCCTTGAAGCTAAACATTTCATCATCAGTATAGGAATCACCTCCTAGCTGACCAAACAAAATGTGACTTCTTAATTCTTAGACTGCTTAACTTCTCTAATTCATTTAGCTTATTTTTTCATTCCTTCCACCTTAAAACTCTACTTTTGGCCTACATGTGCCAAGTCGCTTCAGTCATGTCCAGCTCTTTGTGACCCTATGGACCATAGCCTGCCAGGCTCCTCCATCCATGGAATTCTTCAGGTATCAATACTGGAATGGGTAGCCATGCCCTCCTCAAGAGGATCATCTCAACTCAGGGATTGAACCCACATCTCTTATGTCTCCTGCATTGGCAGTCAGGTTCTTTACCACTAGCACCACCTGGGAAGCCCTTTTGGCCTACATGACACCCTTCTTTCCTGATTCCGCTGTTACCTCTCAGACCTCCTTTTTTCATTGTCTGTTGGTTCCTATTCTTCTTCTATCTATTTCCTTAATGTTAGTTTCCCAAGACTTCATGCTAGTCTTCTTCTTTTCCTAGTCTGCACTCCAGTTTTTGTAATAACCATAACTTGCTGCAAGTGATGCTATATCAGCTTACACCTTTCTCTTGACCTGCAGATTTAAAGTTCCTACTGAATACACAATCTTGCATCCCCTCCCCTCATCCTCCAGTCTTAACTCAGAGACCAAGGAAGCAACCAATGGTTAGGAAAGAAGTGGAGTTCTGCAAGAATTTACAGGAGCAAAAGACAAGGGGGCTGGGTAGGGGAATCCAAACCCACTAGAATGAGACACAGTCTGTTCCTGGTATCTCATTTGTAATCCAAGCATGTTTCACTTTTAAAAATTGTTGCATGTAGTGGACAGGTTTCAAGGCAAATACTACTAGAAAGGATAATATAATAAACATGAAATACATCATGAAGATCACATACAAAATGCCCAAAGATAAAAGTATAAAGCAGCCTGTTATTGTTCAGTCACTAAGTTGTGTCTGACTCTTTGAGACCCCATGGATTGCAGGACGCCAGGCATCCCTGTCCTTCAAACTCCCGGAGTTGGGTCAAACTCATGTTCATAGAGTCAGTGATGTTAGCTAACCATCTCATCATCTGTAAAGCAGTTAGGTGAAAAACAAAAGAAAGCTGTAGGGTACTGTGGCAAAGTTTCTAAAGGGGTGGCTTTTAAACACCATCAGGTTACTTGCATAACCCAGCATTTGCTCCACAGGAATGCAGTATTAGCCCTGACAAAGGTGAATTTTCAAAAGAATCAGAAAAGCTGTGTGTGTTTGAGACAGACAGAGAGAGAGAGAGAGAGAGAGAGAGAAACAAAGAGAGATCCAATTACTAAATAGTAACAAATCTTGTATTTTAAAAATAATAAATATAATAATATATGCAAGCTCTCTAAGGACTTAAAGCACTTCTTTCTGACCTCACACTAAAACTGAAGGGTTAGCCTGTGACCTAAAAGTCATGTATAACAAGGTTCCTAAAGGAAAATGTGGTCTGAGTTCTGAACAACTAATACAAAATCTTTTGATATACAATCCATTTACATTTTGAGAAAAGCATGCTATTTAATTTTACTGCCTAAAACACGCTGTGAATAAAACTTTCCATCTTCTCTTTGGCTCAGTTCTTTATCCTCTACTGCCTCTTAAACATCTTCACTTCAACACTCTGGTTCTGATACTTCTTCAAATTAATTACGGCTTATATGTCTTCAGAATTTTATTGGGGTGTTCAAAAAGTTCATTCAGTTCTTTCCTTAACCTGTTGTGGATGGAAAAGCCCAACTTTGAGGCAGACTCACTATCTCAAACCTCTTTACTCAAGAACACATGAGTTTTCTTAAATATATACCTAAATATTTATTTATTTAATTACTGATTGGATCTTCTAACAGAGAAGACTTTTTGTGCCTCTGGCATACGCCCCCACAGTTTACAGGAGAGATTCAGAGAAGAGAGTACTTTATCCAAGATCTCAGAGAGTGTAAGTGACAGAGATAGAACTTGAGCTCACTTTCTTTTTGAAAACACGACAAGCCAAATTTACTTAAAATTTATATGACAAGTAAATATACACATATATTTAATTTGTCTAACTATATTTGAAAATACTAACCCCCATTAAGAAAAATATAAAGAATCTGCCTGCAAAGCAGCAGATGAAGGAGACGCAGGTTCTAACCCAGGGCTGGGAAAATCCCCTGGAGAAGGCAATGGTTAAGTCACTCCAGTATTCTTCCTGGAGAATCCCAAGGAGAGAGGAGCCCAGTGGATTACAGCCCAAAGAGTCACAAAGAGTTGGATATGAATGAGCAACTGAACATGAGTACAAAAATCAAAATTAGAAAATAACAGTGTTTTTGTATGTTTTACCTCAGAGTATGATATTTTATCAGAAAAACATCTACTTCTACTTCATTGACTATGTGAAAGCCTTTGATTCTGTGGATCACAACAAACTGAGGAAAGTACTTAAAGAGATGGGAATACATGACCACCTTACCTGCCTCCTGAGAAATCTGCATGCAGGCCAAGAAGCAACAGTTAGAATCGGACATGGGACAACAGAGTGGTTCCAAATCAGGAAAGTAGTACGTCAAGGCTGTATATTGTCACTCTGCTTATTTAACTTACAGGCAGATTACATCAGGCAAAATGCCAAGCTAGATGAAGCACAATCAAGATAGCCAGGAGAAATATCAATAACCTCAGATATGCAGATGACACCACCCTTATGGCAGAAAGCAA